TTTATTGGGCGCCAGCCATAGTTTACATGAACGACTTGAACCGCGGGGGGCTGTGCTACATGACCGTCGGTATTAACCCCATCTTGGCAGGTCTGTGTCGAGTCGAAGGGGGCCAGATGGCGGGAACTGCTTTCATTTTCATCAACATGACCATGTATCTGGGAAGTTTTCTGGTCTGTCTGAAGATGTGGCGGCACGAGGCCAGACGGAGAGAGAAGGTGGAATTTGAGGACAAGGCAATGGTGAGAAACTCTTGCTCCATTTTCAGTATGTGATACGTCAGGGTGAAGTGGAGCCTGTAGAGGCACGGTATCAATCCCACAACACATGTAGAAAAGACTGGTTTTCATAGGGCAGAGAATATAAAAACAAGATGGTTTTTGGAGAGCATAGAGCTTAGCTTCAGTGACTGTGATTGCCGCTGTCTTAAAAATCCACTTCATCGGCAACAACAATAACCGCAACACTGACAATTGCATGCTACAAGGCCATACGGATGCTACAATGCTACAAGATTGGGACCAGTGGCAAGTCTATCCTCAAAAACAATTACATGCACAAATGAAAAAGAAACTCTGAAACAGAAAAAGCCAAGCAGACTCCCCCCCCCCATTGGAAAAACCTCCCAACACACCACAACCCCCCCCCATTGGAAAATACTCACAACACACCACTAAACAAAGACATCAAGCTAGTTTTAGTTGTTTTTATAAAGGTAAGATGTAGTTTCAGTTAGTTTCTTTCTTTTTTAAGCATTTTTGTTTTAATTTTATTTCATGAACAAAAAATATGTCCATATTTTTGTTTTAGTTATTTTTGTTAGTTTCCATTAACTGTCATAATCTTTGAGACTAGATCTGAGTCCACAGTCACAAAGGTCCTTCCAAAGAGCTAGCATGCTAGTTAGCTTTCAACAGACGTAACAACATTGTATATTTTTTTAAAAATGTCCATTGCTTCTATTCACACTCAGCAAATCCAAAAGTTGTCAATGCCACTTCTGCATCACATCACCTAAACGTCTGCCAAGTTATTTTAATTAGAGTTTTTTTTTTTTCAAGCAGCAGATTTATAAGAGGTGACATTAGCAATCCCACTAATGAAAGTACACAAGCCAAAATCAGTCACAGAACAAAAGGAGGGAGAGCAAATCTGATGTAATTTAATGTCAGTCAAGAGAATCTGCGGTGAGTTTGCTTTCATTTGTTAGTGATGAATCAGCTTTTATTTGCTGGCAAACACGAACATAATGTAATTGACTGTGCACTTGCTTTAGTGTATTCAATGTGTGACACGAAAAAGACAAGACGCAGTAAGTTCTGCTGTCACATGTTGAGAAGATTGTCAGTGTGAGTGATTCTGCCCTCACAATAATTTAGTGGGATTTTTTTTTTTTAATTAAATGCAATGCACTTCTCAGTTCGCTTTAATATGTCAAAATGAACAAAGTGCAGTTAACCTACTGGTTTAATTATCATGCATGTGAAGTGAACCTGTCATCACAGGGATAAAAGAGATTTCTATTATTCATTATAGTTCTTTTTTTAATTCAGTTTTGATTACAAAGTAGAGCGGGTTTGTTACTTTTTATATATATTTTTTAAATTAAATGTTCTATTTTTAGAGAAGTTAAAGATGAAATTGTACTTTTAGTGTCAACCTGAAATTTCACCTGAAATCCCTATCACTTTCTGTGAGTCGTGTATGTTCAGATGCTGGCAAAAAAAAAAAAAATACGTGATACTTTTGTCCCTTCAGAATCTAGGGGAGAACCTCCTGGCCCCACCAAAAGCAAAACACATTTCATTCAAGACTGAAAGCAACACGAGAGGAAACAAAGGTCAAAACAAGCAGCAGGTGCTCACCTCTGACTTCCAGAGAAGCCCCGACTGTCAGAACAAAGCCGCGGCGCCTGGCTGCATCCCCAAAGTGCACATCATTGCAGACTATGTCATGTGAGCCAACAATTTGGAGACATCTGCATGACTGGCCATTCGAGAGTCTGTTTGACAACTTGGCTGTCTTATCTGTTGCTGCAGGAAGTACCCAGAGATCAGCTGTGTGGAAGAAAGGGAAAAATACAAAGCTGTGTTCAATGATCAGTATCAGGAGTACGAAGAGCTTTACAAAGAGATCAGTGCCACCCTGAGTAAGTTCAGTGAGCTGGATGCTGTCATGGCACGACTCATCACAGATGGAAAAAGCAGAGAGGTAAGACATGCGATGACCCATGTCAAGCAACGTTTCACACACTTGTTGCAATGAAAATAATCCCCTCATCGCAGGGGGTTATGTTCACTTCAAGACCATCCAATAAGTGAAAGCCATTAATTTTACTCTTTAGACACACTTTTACAATCATTCAAACACATATATTGACGGTGCACAAAAGCAATGGATAACATTAAAATATTGTACAATAGTGAGCCAATCCTTCTGTGTTACAAGTACACAAACTCTGTTTTTCCAAACGATCTTATCTTACAATATGCATCATACCTAGAGATGTACATAATAAAGTGAACCTACAGCTGTTGCTTTTTGTAACCCTAAAGAGCAGGATGATGGTTAATGACGTTCAATTATTTTTAAAAACTGTGCTGAATTTCAGTATTTCCTGTTTCGTTCTTCTTCTTTTAAATTGACACATCTCAAACTAAATAAGCGTGCCGCCGCCTGATGGTTATAAGTGGAACTACACGCCATTTCTTCAAGAATTAGACCAAAATAGTTATTAACTGTACAATAAATAAATACATAAATAAATAATCAGATAGATAGATAAAATCCACGAAGATGGAATTGAGTGGGGTTTAGTGTATGTCAAATACAAATACGCAACGGCCATAGCAACCAAGTACTGTAAGTGGCAAAAGTACACACACTTTGTACTTAAGTAGACATGAAAAAGACCGGTTAAAGTAGAAGTTCTGAATCAACTTCTTTATTCAAACAAAATAAAAACTACAGACTGTAGTAAAGTAAAGGGGTACTTCCTGTTTGTTTGTTTTGTTTTTTTTGACAGTTGATACAGCCCCGTTCAAACGGCAGATTTTTGTGATATAAAATACAGAGACAGATAAAAATGTTTTTTGATCCAGCATTGAGAGAGAGAGAGAGAGAGAGAGAGAGAGAGAGAGAGAGAGAGAGAGAGAGAGAGAGAGCAGAAGAGAAACGCGGGGTCACCAATGATGGGAGGTTTTTACTTTCTGTTACAGGATCCTACTTTTTTGGAGAAAAAGCAACGTTGTGGCTACTTGAAAACCAAACTGAGTCACATCAAAAACAGAATCCGTGCTTTTGACCAAGAGACATCTGGATTGAACAAATAACACTTCGTTTTATTTTATTATTGTGAATACAGAATGATACATTCATGCGATGACTTATGACTTTTGAGATATAATTTATGAGAATGTACAGGATTTTGCTTTATGTTTTTTACAATTGTGTTGCGTATTATTTGCACTACTGTTATTAGCCTTTACAACCATATCAAGATGATCAATGTGTTACCTGTGGGTCTTCATGGTCATTTGGGCTTTTTTATATGACAGATAAACAAAAGGAGAGTTAATACAAAACTATATTTGAATTGTCAACGCAACAACAGAATAGAAGGTTTACTTCATCACGTGTGTGGGTGTGGAGTGATGTACTGTAAATATAAACAAAAAGAAAATTGCTGAAATGAACAATAGCACATTTTATATATTTTTATTTTATTAAATGAAAAGGTTAATTCCAAAAAGGGTCTTGTAATTTGTTGCATTAGCAGTTTCTTTCTAAAATTGGTTAATTAGAAGGAATTTATTTCATGTTGTTATTATTATTATTTTTGTTTGTTTTTTTTACTATTTTATTAAATAAAACATCTGAATAAGATAACTTGTTTCATGAGGCATTCAAGAAATGAGCAGGAATTGATATTCTAGAATTGAGATACTGTACTGTATGGTAGATTACCTATTTTACACACAAATACAATTTTTTTTATCTCGTCTAGAAGCAGGCCGTCTAAAAGTCAAATGTGGACCTTCAGATTAAAAATGTATTCACTCATGTTCATTATTATTATTATTAGTAGTAGTAGTAGTATTATCACATTAAATGTGACCTGTATATTATTGTTATTTGATAAGACCTGCCCTGCAGCCATTTTTGAGACAAACTTTCCACGTGTTGGCCAACGTGGGTTGTGCCGAGGGTTCACTTTGGGTGGACAGCGAGTCTTGTTGAGACGCGAGCACAAAGGCTGCGGCTCGGCTGGCCACGGCAACAAGGAAACTGTTTCTTCTCTGCGTTTCCTACTGTCACGGGAAAAGAACTTAAAGAGGTAAACGTGTCCCGCGAGGAATGAGACTAAAGTGCCAGGCTTTACTGGAAGGGTCCAAAGTTGAAAGTTGGGGTAAGTTCTTTCGTTGGGTTTTTTTTCTCGAATGTCAACATAGTTAAAAGTTGTTTTTGTGCTACGGCAATTGCTTTTGAATGAGAGGCAGTAACAGCACACCGATACGTCCACAAAACCTCGACCTGTGTTGTCTTTGTAAAGTCAGAATGTTTGTCATTCCTGTATTGGATTATTGTTTGCGATATAACAGGCTAAACAATATTAAATACAAGCAAGGAACTTTGTCTCTTAAGCTCTCTAATTTAATTTACAAAAAAAATAATGTCTGTTTCAAATGTAATCTTAATTGAGTGTAAAGTGTGAGCAAGAGATTATTGGTGGGAGACCAAATTCCTGCCGTGAATAGCTAAAAAAATGCAAGTAATTGACCCCCTCGGAATTTTTGGGGGAATTTACTTTATATTTAAACATGCCACAAACTATGATCACAAAACACTTATATGTTTTCATATATCATTTTACAAATTTGGCCTCAAAATAAATGCTCACAGAAGCTTTGATTTTAAAAAGAAAATGTACCAAAATTCCCGTTTGCGAGTATTAGCCACAAAGACTCTTAGTAACTTCCCTGGCTAAATTTAGCCCCACCCCAGCACACTAAAATTCTAATCTCTCCGTCGAGATGTATCACTTCAACATACATCCTTGACAACAATTTCTACTTTCCTATTAGCCAGGGCTTTGGCACCACCCTGTGGCATCTGTGGGTATTATAGAAAAAGCATGAAAGGAGAGTGTTTTTTTTAATTATTATTTATTTATGTATTTATTTATTTACTGCTTAGCTAAGGATAGATTTCACCCACAAAAAAACAAGATTATCTGTGAACAGAGAATTGATTCAAGATGCATTGGTCAGTAATCCGCAATCAAATGGCATTGTGGCCCCTCTGAATTGTCATGACATCCAATTGTGAGGCGGTGAGAGATTCCCATACCTTGCTACTGATCAACAGTCAAAGTTTATGAAGTTGTTCACTGCTTTTCCGTGCACTAAGCAGGTACACACAAAGCTAACACACAGTGGAGGGAGGAACACATGTTGGTTCTCCTTACAGTAAAGATGGCTGCCCTTGCCTCTCATCCGTCTTCAGTCTGAATTATTAAAAGCCTGTTGGTTTGAGTTCCACAGTGAAGTGAAGTGTGAGGGCCAGTGAAACCTGAGAGCAGGTTGTAGTAGAAGTACAGAAATACAACATTAGAAATTGGTATTTTCAGATGACACACAGATGCACGATTGGGTGTGGAAGGAAGGCAGCCTCACACGCGGTTAACTTTACATCATCTGCAAGTACAGGTCTTCTTGCAGTGAACAACGATGTTCTGCATGGACTCCAGTGAGTCCTTCCTAGTGAGCCAACTACAGTGGCCGGCAAAGAGGACGGCTGTGTGCACTCCCACAATTCCGCAAACGCCCCTTTCTAGCTGCGCCCTTCCACAAAAAAAAAAAATAGATGTGCTAGAAAAAAGTTAAAACATTTTTTAAATCCGTGTCAAAAATACATTTAAGGGCACATCAACCCATCACTGATTAAAATTAGCTTGTGACCGTGGTTATTATTGTGAGAACTCATTAACATGTGACTTGACACAAATGAATGTCATTGTTATTAATTACACATCATAAAGGTATTATGAGCAAATTAGTTTTTTTTCAGAAGTGTGTATAAAACTGGTAGCCTTTGCATTAATTAGTATACAATTTCAAAAAGGTTGGTAAACCCTGCATTGGAGAAAATATATCAGTGTTTACTGGTAAATCAATCTGCATTCCTAAATTGGCAAAAATACCTCGAATGAACCATTCGTTTCTTTCTCTTCCTACAGGCGCAATCTTCGCAATCGTGGCACCAAATCATGTATGAACCTCGGCACTATGACAGCCCCCATCTGTACAGTCCGCCCTACAGCACCACCTCCCGCAGCTTCCATCCCCCAAGAAGTGTGCCTTCTCCCCAGAGCCAGTATGGTAGCTACACCTTCCAACCCCCTGCAGACCCCCACTACATGGAGGAGAGAGAGAGAGAGAGAGAGAGAGAGAGAGAGAGAGAGATTTTTTCCTCCACCGTGGCATTTGAAGAGGGTTGTGTGGACTTTTCAAGAGAATTTTTTTCACTCTAAGAAAAATAATATCATGCGTGTGTACTTCAAGTAACTTCCAAACCATTTGCTGCTGTTTTATTTTCCAGAACCGAGACAGGATTCAAAATATCGTAAAGCTGTATGAGCAGAAAAAAAGCGTAAGTGATGATAATGTCGCCGCTCCAGTAGTGTTGAGTAGATAATGGTGTCCATCGACGCTGTGGGGAAATCTCATTTGCATCCCGCAGAAAAATGGATTGGGCAAGGTGGCGGTGAGCAGAAGAGAAACGCGGGGTCACCAATGATGGGAGGTTTTTACTTTCTGTTACAGGATCCTACTTTTTTGGAGAAAAAGCAACGTTGTGGCTACTTGAAAGCCAAACTGAGTCACGTCAAAAACAGAATCCGTGCTTTTGACCAAGAGACATCTGGATTGAACAAATAACACTTCGTTTTATTTTATTATTGTGAATACAGAATGATACATTCATGCGATGACTTATGACTTTTGAGATATAATTTATGAGAATGTACAGGATTTTGCTTTATGTTTTTTACAATTGTGTTGCGTATTATTTGCACTACTGTTATTAGCCTTTACAACCATATCAAGATGATCAATGTGTTACCTGTGGGTCTTCATGGTCATTTGGGCTTTTTTATATGACAGATAAACAAAAGGAGAGTTAATACAAAACTATATTTGAATTGTCAACGCAACAACAGAATAGAAGGTTTACTTCATCACGTGTGTGGGTGTGGAGTGATGTACTGTAAATATAAACAAAAAGAAAATTGCTGAAATGAACAATAGCACATTTTATATATTTTTATTTTATTAAATGAAAAGGTTAATTCCAAAAAGGGTCTTGTAATTTGTTGCATTAGCAGTTTCTTTCTAAAATTGGTTAATTAGAAGGAATTTATTTCGTGTTGTTATTATTATTTTTGTTTTTTACTATTTTATTAAATAAAACATCTGAATAAGATAACTTGTTTCATTAGACATTCATGTAATGAGCAGGAATTGATATTTTATAATTGATATGCTGTACTGTATGGTAGATTACCTATTTTACACACAAATAACTTTTTTTTTACCTCGTCTAGAAACAGGCCGTCTTAAAGTATTCACTCATGTTTATTATTATTATTATTATTATTATTATTATCATCAAATTAAATGTTACCTGTATTTTATTGTTATTTTATAAGACCTGCCCTGCAGCCATTTTCGAGACAAGCTTTCTACGTGTTGGCCAACGTGGGTTGTGCCGAGGGCTCACTTTGGGTGGACAGTGAGTCTTGTTGAGACGCGAGCACAAAGGCTGCGGCTCGGCTGGCCACGGCAACAAGGAAACTGTGTTTCTTCTCTGCGTTTCCTACTGTCACGGGAAAAGAACTTAAAGAGGTGAACGTGTCCCGCGAGGAATGAGACTAAAGTGCTATTCTTAACTGGAAGGGTCCAAAGTTGAAAGTTGGGGTAAGTTCTTTCGTTGGGTTTTTTTCTCGAATGTCAACATAGTTAAAAGTTGTTTTTGTGCTACGGCAATTGCTTTTGAATGAGAGGCAGTAACAGCACACCGATACGTCCACAAAACCTCGACCTGTGTTGTCTTTGTAAAGTCAGAATGTTTGTCATTCCTGTATTGGATTATTGTTTGCGATATAACAGGCTAAACAATATTAAATACAAGCAAGGAACTTTGTCTCTTAAGCTCTCTAATTTAATTTACAAAAAAAATAATGTCTGTTTCAAATGTAATCTTAATTGAGTGTAAAGTGTGAGCAAGAGATTATTGGTGGGAGACCAAATTCCTGCCGTGAATAGCTAAAAAAATGCAAGTAATTGACCCCCTCGGAATTTTTGGGGGAATTTACTTTATATTTAAACATGCCACAAACTATGATCACAAAACACTTATATGTTTTCATATATCATTTTACAAATTTGGCCTCAAAATAAATGCTCACAGAAGCTTTGATTTTAAAAAGAAAATGTACCAAAATTCCCGTTTGCGAGTATTAGCCACAAAGACTCTTAGTAACTTCCCTGGCTAAATTTAGCCCCACCCCAGCACACTAAAATTCTAATCTCTCCGTCGAGATGTATCACTTCAACATACATCCTTGACAACAATTTCTACTTTCCTATTAGCCAGGGCTTTGGCACCACCCTGTGGCATCTGTGGGTATTATAGAAAAAGCATGAAAGGAGAGTGTTTTTTTTAATTATTATTTATTTATGTATTTATTTATTTACTGCTTAGCTAAGGATAGATTTCACCCACAAAAAAACAAGATTATCTGTGAACAGAGAATTGATTCAAGATGCATTGGTCAGTAATCCGCAATCAAATGGCATTGTGGCCCCTCTGAATTGTCATGACATCCAATTGTGAGGCGGTGAGAGATTCCCATACCTTGCTACTGATCAACAGTCAAAGTTTATGAAGTTGTTCACTGCTTTTCCGTGCACTAAGCAGGTACACACAAAGCTAACACACAGTGGAGGGAGGAACACATGTTGGTTCTCCTTACAGTAAAGATGGCTGCCCTTGCCTCTCATCCGTCTTCAGTCTGAATTATTAAAAGCCTGTTGGTTTGAGTTCCACAGTGAAGTGAAGTGTGAGGGCCAGTGAAACCTGAGAGCAGGTTGTAGTAGAAGTACAGAAATACAACATTAGAAATTGGTATTTTCAGATGACACACAGATGCACGATTGGGTGTGGAAGGAAGGCAGCCTCACACGCGGTTAACTTTACATCATCTGCAAGTACAGGTCTTCTTGCAGTGAACAACGATGTTCTGCATGGACTCCAGTGAGTCCTTCCTAGTGAGCCAACTACAGTGGCCGGCAAAGAGGACGGCTGTGTGCACTCCCACAATTCCGCAAACGCCCCTTTCTAGCTGCGCCCTTCCACAAAAAAAAAAAAATAGATGTGCTAGAAAAAAGTTAAAACATTTTTTAAATCCGTGTCAAAAATACATTTAAGGGCACATCAACCCATCACTGATTAAAATTAGCTTGTGACCGTGGTTATTATTGTGAGAACTCATTAACATGTGACTTGACACAAATGAATGTCATTGTTATTAATTACACATCATAAAGGTATTATGAGCAAATTAGTTTTTTTTCAGAAGTGTGTATAAAACTGGTAGCCTTTGCATTAATTAGTATACAATTTCAAAAAGGTTGGTAAACCCTGCATTGGAGAAAATATATCAGTGTTTACTGGTAAATCAATCTGCATTCCTAAACTGGCAAAAATACCTCGAATGAACCATTCGTTTCTTTCTCTTCCTACAGGCGCAATCTTCGCAATCGTGGCACCAAATCATGTATGAACCTCGGCACTATGACAGCCCCCATCTGTACAGTCCGCCCTACAGCACCACCTCCCGCAGCTTCCATCCCCCAAGAAGTGTGCCTTCTCCCCAGAGCCAGTATGGTAGCTACACCTTCCAACCCCCTGCAGACCCCCACTACATGGAGGAGACGCCGCAACACTTCTACCAATGGTTTTCGCCTCCTGGTTTTGTTAAAACCTTCCACGGAGCCACAGTGCTCATGTCTTTCCTCATTTTCGCATGCGTGGCGTCAACATTGGTGTGGGACACGAATGGATTTGGGTACAGTGTTGGTGGTGCAGGGAGTGTCGCAGGGGCAGGGCAGGGGTACTATGGTGGTAGCTATGGTTACAGTAGCTCCTACATGACCCCGCAGTCTGCCAAGGCCGTAATGATCTCCATCGCTGCTATCAACTTCCTGATTTCACTGGGGTTTCTGGTGGGAAGTTTCTCCCGTTCGAGGGCCATGAGAGGATCCTGTTTCTACCTCACGGTGTTCATTTGTGACATCATCTTAGCTGTCCTTCAGGTGAGTCATGTGCGTCCTTGCATCCAGCTAGTTTCCATTCCTCTCGTCCTCTTTAGGATCGCGGGCAGAGATGGGTAGAGTAGCCATAAATTGAAGGTACTATTACTTTAGAATAAGATGGCTCAAGTAAAAGTAAAATGTAGCCTTCAAAATTATTACTTGAGTAAAAGTAAAAAGTACTCAGTGAAAAAAAAACCTACTCAAGTCGAGGTTCAAAATAGGCGGTTACTCATCAAAGTTTGCAAGGCAAAATTTGCATTTTGCGCCTCACTAACACAGATTCAATAATCAAACTAAGAATCAATTGCCACAACGGGCTCAAAAAGCTTTGTTGGACTGGACTGCAGGTAGTCCAAGGTCAAGAGAAGCTCTGTGCTGCTTACCCCGCAGCAACTAGCTAGAAATTAGCTTCAGCTGGCTACTAGTGCACCTAAACACATTATAGAATCGTTCCTAAGTCGGCAATTATCATCTCTGCGGGGGTATTCAAAGCTACATTTTTGAGTACCGGTCTCACAAAGGGATGATGAGAAAAGACGGAGAACCATGCTAATTGCTAAGCTAACCTAAGATTGGTACAGCTAGCGCATTTAACAGCAAAACACTTTTCACAGACTTGTAATTGGAATCATCTTAATTCAGACAACATCCAACTTAATTAAGTGATAAATATATATATATATTTTTTAATAGGCGTAAAATTACAGTTCCACTGCTCTGAGGCCAAAGTATTGACCGAGATGGACTTTCCATTAATTGCAGGGCATCATTGACATCATTTTTGTGATTGGAGTCAACCCAATGTCCCAGAGCTCACAGAGCATGCTATACAATCCAATCCTGATGATGTGCCACAACATTCCGGACCGGCCCAGCCTTAGTGGCAGCATAGGAGCTGGCTTTCCTGGGGGCTTTCCTATGTACAACCAGTACCTGTACCACTACTGCTTCATGGACCCAGAGGAGGTCAGTAGTCTTGAAATGAGGAGTCAAGTTGTTATGATAACAAGTAAGGTATCATTTTAATTTCATAAAATGCTTTCTTTCTCAGGCGGTAGCATTAGCATTGGGTCTGATGGTGGTGTTGGCCCTGTCACTGGCTGCTTTCTACTCCTGGAAGACTCGTAGCAAAATCTGCCGCCATGGCAAAGCTAACATCTACTGGGACAAACCACTGGTCATGCAGTCTGAGGGACAGAATATAGAGGACTGGGTGAGAAATTGTGTCTGTCCGTCTATCTATCTATCGATCGATCAATCGATCTATTTTTTCTATATACAAAAAAGATTGACTGGCGACCAGGCGTAGGTGAAGTTCACTCATTGCTCAAAATTTGCTTTGATAGACAGAGGCTAGAAAATGGATGGATAGATACTTTTAAAATGGCCAATTAATTTTGATGACAAGTGGGTCATCATAGGCACATAATCACTGCGGATTTTTGTGCAACCTGACCGTTCACATGACTAAGTTTCACCTTTTCTTACAAACCGCTGTTGACTTAGAGATAGTTGCCTTTATCTGAGGCACACCCAGGTTTCACTCTGACTGATCATTAACTAGTGAGAGCTGCAATGACAGCACACATTGAAGGATCTCTCGTGACAATAAAAAAAGTAATGGAGTTGTTGTTAAGTCATCTTGGGACTGAAAAGATTCATGCTTTATGTTGGTGGAACATTCTGTGCATAGTAATGAATGGCTTTGATTGATTGGAAAATAATAATTTTCATTTGAATCCTAATGATAACTCAGGGCACGGTGGTCAACTAGTTAGCACGTCCACTGGACAGTGCAGAGGTCATGGTTTCATTTCTGGAGCTTTCGTCCTCCCTGTGTGGTGTTTGCCTGTTCTCCACGTGCCTGTGTGCGTTTTTTTCGGATACTCCGGTTTCCTCCCACATGACAAAAACATGCACTGTAGGTTGATTGAACGCTGATTGTCCCTAAGTGTGATTGTGAGCGCGAATGGTTGTTTGTCTATGTGTGCCCTGTGATTGGCTGACAACCAGTTCAGGGTGTACTCCGCCTATTGCCCGAAGACAGCTGGGATAGGCTTCAGCAGGCCCATGACCTTTGTGAGGATAAGCAGATCAGATGATGGATGGATGGATGGATGGATGAATTATAATGCCCCTGGGTGGCCAAGGTGCTCACATCAGAAAGAGCGGCACAATGTCCATTAAATTTAAGCCCCCTAAAATGTGGCACAACTGTTTAATTCATTACATGCTATTTTGTCAAAATTACAGTGCATTTTTTTCTTATAAAAACACATTACAGCAATATTGCGGTTTTTAATGCATATCAATTTTTATCAACTGGACAAAGTATATTTGAGATGCAAGTGCTGCGTGATAATAGGAGCAAATGAAAATTGTGTTTCAAAGCACTACGGCACTCCCTACTAAAATATAAATGTTAAGTTGCCAGTGTGTTTGTTTTCTAAAAAGCTTACAGCCCCAAACCAAAATGAAAAACATTGACATGGTTTCTGGAACATTTAGCATGCTGCTCCAAATCCTTTTTCTTGCTACATTTTTTTGTAATTCGTAGCAGGAGCCTCGTGTGGCCTTCAGTATTGTAACAGGAATGCGTACTCTGGTGCAACTACAATTACGAGGAGAGAGGCAACAAAATTCATTTATCCAGAAATGTCCTGACCTACATACTCCCAGTGATTGGGAGTTGGCTTCATTTGAATGCTGGGCCACTAGTGTACCACAGTGAGGGTGATTTTCCTTGCAGGGAAGGCATATTTAATGTATGGCCATGTATAATGGATAAAAGGGTTAGGTTGCCACAGTGCTACTGTGTGAATCCCCACAGAGTAGTGGCAGTAAATGATTCAGTCTTTGCACCACGGCCTAAAAGTTAGCTCCTTGTGGTACAAGAACACAGAAACTGTATAATATATGATCAAATGTCATGTATGATACTAATTGCAGCATAGAACACTAGATCTGAATTATTTCAATGTCGCAAAATTATTATTTATGTTACCATGAACTAAAAACTACCCTCTCCGCTTTTTATGCAAGGAATTAATTGGATTCGAAATCCCGAAAGTTACAAATAAAGGAATTTATGCATTACACTAACAAAAAAAAAAAGCTTCACTAAATTATGAAAATTGTACATCCTTGGCACCGATTCGCCACCAGGTGGCGCCAAAGCAAATCACGTCTAATCAAACCTTTCTTACTTTAAAAGCAACACAAAGTGCTTCATAAAACAAATGATAAAGGTCTTGTTTTGTTAATTCGACATCACAGTATCACAGAGATGACTGTTTTTACCAACCCTGCCAAATTAGAACGATAAAAAAATAAAGTATATAAAATGAGACTTCAAAATTAAAAAAAATATTTTTTACAAAATGCTTACAAAAGTATCTGTGCTTATACTTCCGACAACTTTTGTCTCTTTGGCTCTTTTCTCTATGCTGCATTAGGTAAACCATGTTGGAGAAGGAAGAAGCACCCAGGAGGCACCAACTGTTGTTATATCAGAGAAAGCAGCTTCTGACCTTCGTGGGGGAAACAGCACAGCTTTGTATTGCCAGGACACAGACCTCATTTACAGCGATGGAAATTTGAACCGCGACAAGTGCGTATACTACAGTGTTTGCTTTGTCGTCATACAGTCGAAAAGTGTCATAATCATTTTAGAATGTGGCAGTAGAATTGAAAATGAAAAGGGGTGGTGTGAATCATAATAAGCATCTTCTCTCATTCCGGCAGCTGTTGTCAGGCAAAGACCTCTTAGGTTCAAATCTCATCCCATTTTTTAAATTTTTTTATCAATTTATACTATTGTTCTGTTGCCACGTCGTCTGTTATTTTTATGGCTTGTTAATGAAATTCAGGTGTCATTGTGTTATTTAAATTTGTAAAACGCTGTCTCTTCCCTCACCCACGCAGTATTATGTCACCTCAAGATTTAAAATCTGAATGATATGTACAGATTCATTTCCAACCTATTACACTGCTTAGCCAGCTTCTCGTTTTACAGATTGTACCACTCAAGACCTTTGAAAAAGAGTCTGGGAAGATAAGTATAACCACAGTAGTTTGTTTATGTGAAATACTAAACGATTTTTGTCTGGTCTGTTGTAGTGATTCAACATGATTTGCGGGAGGTGTAGTGTTGATGTTGGTGCGCAACAGGATACGGTTAGCAAGATTAGCTATAATCGCATCAGTAACAGTTTGGCGTTTGCTAACTCAAGCAAGATGTTTTTTTTATTTTGTTTTGGGGTTTTTTTTCCGTGATAAGCTAGGTTTTTGGTGACGAGAGGATTCCCCCCAACAGCAACAATATTCACTAATTTGCTTGAGTGTATATTTTTCTAGCTCCTGTGAGGTTAGTAGCAAACATCAAGAGGCAGAGCACCCGTACCAGAACAGCAGGCCTGTAGTGTGCAGCAGCTCCTCAGGTGACGCAGACAGCGGCAAGAAACATGCCTTAAGGGTCCAGAGGAACCACAGGGATTGTGCATCTCAGGAGATGGCGGAATACCAAAATGAAACGGCTTACACCACTGGAGGAGACACTGCTAATGAGTTGGACCAAGACCAAGACCAACATCTCTTCAGGTGATGTAACAAAGCCAATGTAACAGTGAGGCCGATTTGGCTCTTGCACTTGCAACTTATTTCAATTAAATGAAATAAAAACATCTGTTCACTTCTCTGTTCAGGGAGTACCCGGAAATCATCTCGGACCAGCAGCGTCGGCAGTACAGACGCGATTATGACTCCTCGCTGGCTCGTTATAAGAACCTGTGCAAAGAAATGGATGACATCTGTGACCAGATTCATAAGCTGAGTCGAGAACTGGACTCCCTGGACAAGAACTCCATCAAGTACCAGGTAGCCGATCAGAGAAAATGTATTTGCTAATAGACATTCTGTACCCGTGACTTCCTTAGGAACATCAAACACAGTATGAGGGTGCTCTCAAGTTCAGTGTTAACATTCTTCTGGTTCCATTCTCAGGGTGTGGCCGATGAATATAATAGACTAAAAGATCTCAAAAGGGTAAGTGAAGCAGATGTGCACATACTATGCATTCACACATAGAGTACCAATAACGTTGTTATTGTTTCCCCCTCAATATTTTATGAAACTGTAAATTGTTACCAAATAAAACACAAAGAGTCATTTGTCAGTCTGTTCCCACATGTCTCTCTTTTAGGCACCAGATTATCAAGCAAAGAAAAGGGAGGGCAGAGAACTTCGGCAAAAACTCTTCCACATCAAACAGCTAGTAAAAAACTTTGACCAAGGACTTTGTTAGCGCAGGTGCGTCAGTTAAACGCTGACAAAACGAAAATGCAATCAGCATTTGCCTGTGCACTTTTATATTGAGAAACTGCATAAAACAGATTGATCACTTTATTTACAACGATGTCGCACTAATGTTACTTACGCAGTTTGTGAACTTTGCTCTAAAAATAAACATTTCAGAACTTTTTTCACGATTGTGACCTATACCTGTACAACTCTATTGAAAATATGTATTTTTCAGAAGAGAAGTAAAATCAAGCAACTGCAATAATGTGGTTGCACAAGTGTGCACACCCTCCTGTAACTCGGATGTGACTGTGTTCAAAATTAACCAGTCACGTTCACACTCACGTTAATTGCTTTTGGAAGCTTATTTTTTGGGCCGATAAAAGTGAGGTCAAACCTTTTGACCGTAATTTCAACCGGTATGTTTGGCGCAAATATAACACTGCCCATGAACAAAAGAACGCCATACCTATAGTGAAGCGAGGTGGCGGCAGCGTCATGCTTTAGGGCTACTTTTCTGGAGCCTTAGAGAGGGTGAACTGTTCAAAACATTAGTCAGTTTTAGCTGACTACTGTTTTGCACAGAAAAAAATGTCCGGAACAGTCTACTTGAACAGCTAAACTTTATTTGGGCTTAACCAGATGCACTTTAAATGGCAGTAGGGATGTACCGACACACGTTGAACGTGAGTTTGAATGCGGTTTGGTTAATTATGTACACAGCCGCATGCTCAGTCATCAGAGGGTGTGCACACTTTTCCAACCACGGTTTCCAAATATTTTTTTTACAGCTGTTGAAGAGATCAGGTACTGTGTCTCATTACACATCATAAAAACTTGACATTTGAACACAGATGCGTAGACCTCTTATATCCAATGTACGAGGCATTAGCAATAGTAAAATAAAACATTCCACGTTTGTTTATCACTTTGGTTATTTAATGGGAATTAATTGGGGACTTTTTTTGCAGCACATGCATAGAATTAGACATTTGTGGTGCACGTCGCAGTGTTTATTTGGCATTCGTCATACAGCTGTAAATACAACACTTTTTCAACAGGTTTGGAAAAAAACAAATATACGTAACAAAAGACACACCTGCTCTTTTGATTCTTTCAATAACCTTGCCATATACATAAAACTCAAATGTAAGAACTCAGGAACACAATAACTAAGAAACCATTAGGAGCTAACCTTCATGAATGACATGGATGTGTGACTTGACTAAAAGAAGCACACCCAGATCAAGTTCAGGGTAAAAACAAGAAGCAAAATATTATGCTTGATTTGTGTTCTTTGTTCTAAAATATTTGATATTCGTTAAAACAACAAAGCATCTCAAACTGCTAGCGTGAGGTAAGTCCTGGTGGCGAATCAGGGGGCCTTCTTGTAGCCCACTAATTGGCGGACGTGTGACATTTTGGTATTCAAAATCCTCCTTGTGCAGTTTGTAATCAGCCGTTTCAAAGTCGCCTCACATCATTTACAAAGTACAACAGCACTCAAGTCTTTCGTGGAAACGTGGGTCTTTAGAGAGGTATTTTTTATGTAAACACAGAAACACAACGAGGAGCTAACAGAGAAAGCAACACTTTGATATTTAAAGGAATTACTTACACAAACGATGACACAACTTAGAAGCGCTCCAAAACATTAGAACATGCAAAGGGAAATCAAAGTTGGCCTCGATATATTTACATACAAAAAGTTCCAACACATAGTCAATGTGGGCCCTATTTTCGCATAAGAACGGGCAAATCTTCATTTTTGTGCCAATGCAAGTCTTGTTTAGCCTGTCTGTGAATTTGATAGACAGCGCTACGCCTCAGTAGGTATTCCGGCATATTTTATTGCACGCTCCCGGCGCATCTGGCAATTTGGTGACCAAAAGGAGGCTAGATTTTAGACAAGCTAAAAGCTGGTCTATGTTGAGGCGCAGGTAGTGTAATGCAATTTTGGAGCATTTGATCGAGGCGCAGGCAGATATATTCTAAACTCTGCAGGTATGTGTGATGGATGTCATCGGATGATCATTCAGAAACAGCATGGGGCAATCCCATTATTGTCGAATCAATTCACTGAACGAATTAACATGACCATCTTTAAAATATTTTAAATCTGACCACACAGTACAATTCTTATTACGGACACGCGATAGGGAGTGCAAGGCCGTCTCCAATTGCCCATGTCACATGCACGATCGATGACATCATCCGCAAGGGGAGATCTTGCAATTTATAATCATACTTTGTGTGCTCCAAACTCATGCACGGATGCTAGCGGGTCAATTTCTGCTTCCGCAATGTCAGGGATTGTGTGTGATTCGACTGCTCTAATTTAAAAGTCATCTGCGTTCCCTCCCACAACGGCGCAAACGTCCACTTCCACCTGCGCAAGTCTAGGAAAATACCAAAACAGTTTAAGCTAGACTTGCGCTGGGCACGAAAATAGGGCCTTTAGTGTTTGTTATAAAGTTGTTAATGCCACTCATTAAAAGCTAATTGTTCAGATTTCTCATTCAGAAGAGCTTGCTCCAACTTTGAATATGTGCAATTCTGGAAAAGAAGCAACAAAGATGAATGTGTATGATGCTTGTACGAGTCCTCAATTTATACCTAATAACAAGGCGGTTGTCAGAAAAAAGGCGGTTTCTGGTGTGGAACGTTTACTTTTTTTTTTCCAAATATCAGATGAAAGCATTCTGATGTTAAATGAGGTATTAGTCTCTTGTAACTGCTGGAGAATAAAGCAATCATGAGCCCTGGGGAACAAAATCACTGACCAGCTAACGTTCAAGCAGACGCAAGAGTCATCTTCTCTGTTTTTGTGCATCAATCCGAGGATGAACTTTGGTGAATTTTCCTTGGTTTTTCTTCATTTTTTTTTCATTGTCAACCATCTCGCGCTCCCCGCCCAAATTATTTCCAAGTCTTCCATCGAGCCGAGCCCTGCAGAGAACCGTGTGCTCTGGTCATCAGTACCATCCTTATTGGTGATGCTGCATTATCAAGTTCTCGGCAACGTCAACAAAAAGGGTCACGGATGGAAAATTATTCCCATCACATAGGCACATAGGGCCAGCTGATGGAGCTTCCGGAGAGCTGCATGTCTCGGATGAGCGTCTCAATCGGGGTCTTCCCCACCAGGCGCATGAAAAAGAGTTGGGAGATGAGGCTGGCGGGTACGGCGCGTAGAGCAGGGAGGCGGAGGAGCAGGCGGCCAAAACGTTGAGGTTGACTCGGGTACTGCATCCTCTCGTACTCGGTCAGAGCCACCTGAGCCTTTTCCTGTAGAGACTCCACGTGGACTGCATCTGTCAGACCACAGGCATCTAGTACAGAGAGAAAGAGGGAGTTATTTCATGGTGTGGGCAGGTTACATAAAGAGTCGTGTTGAACTGCAGAGGGCTCAATGTTTGAATGCTGCTGAGCAGAATACATTCAATCAATGTTGGGACGAAATTATTACAAGCGGTGGGCCGTCAGGGGCCAGCAACATGAAAACGAGGTGAAAAGAAAGAGCAGAACAGTGACTTGGATGATTAGATTTCTTCCCCTTTTGTGACACCTCCAACTATAAAATAATAAAAACAAAAGTGAGAAAGGGCCTCTAAGGCAAAAGAAGAATTTATTTACAGGTATGCAACTAAGAAATGTGCCATGAGCGATGTTGACTCACTCACCGGTGGCTTTCTTTTTTTTTTTTTTTTTTGGTACGACATTCGTCATCTTTTCTCATAATCGTGACACACACTTTCTGCTACCTACTGTGACGCTTAAACTGTTAATACATAACAATACATATACATATTCAGTTTAAGTGTGAGGTACTTCAACTACTTCTTTCTGTCATAATAAAAATGACAAGCAGAGATTCACAAAATGTGCTGATCTCAAATCCACTGCAATGCACCATCCATAAGGATCTTTTCGTCATTACAGTGGCTTGAAACCTGAAAACTTGAAACCTGGGTGAGACCCTCCTCCACGGCTAGATGTTGAAAAACATGACATACATCACGAATACATTTGTCGGTTGTAGTAACCAGTTGCATTCCGTTTGATGACTAAAAATGTCAACGGCAGTGAATGAGTTTAACGTTGTATCGCGAAACAGATTCTGGAACAACCAGTAATAAAATATATAGATGGGTAGATATTCATCCCACGATGGTAAGGAAATGAAAATCTGTCTATCTATGCATCTATTCATCCTAAATCCATGTCAGTGCCCCTGATTCGGCGTACGTAATAAAGTACTATAATCATCCAGTAGGTGGCAGAAGTGTTTCTTTAAATCCCGGCATAGTGCTACAGTCCATTTAACGCAGAAAAACAAATGATGAACTGCTGTCACCTGGTGAGAACAGTGCGATGGCTTTGAGACAGCTGTACTCTGCGGAGTCCACCTGCAGTCGGGTCAGCTTTTCCACCTGGTCCTGGAACACCCTCACCTGGTCCATGAAGGACACCACACGTTCCGCCGACATGGGCGACGAGTGGAAGCCCGCCGCAGCCAACAAGGGCGCCATGTGGAGCGGCAAGGCCGACTGGGCCGCATTGAGGATGAACAGCTCGCTCCAGCTCAGCCTCAGCAGGGCCACCTAGGGGTTTGCGTTGGCATGTTACTCAGAAAACCTTCGCTGTGTCTTCATTTGTTTTTTTTGTTTTTTTTACAGTAAATGACAAGAAAATATGAATAAATTTGGTCAAATGATAAGTACTTCCATTCGTACTGAAAAAAAAATGATCGTATATCCCTAATTAAGCCATAGTGGAGAATTTCCCGCAGCGCAGCAAGGACAATAATGGAAGTTCAGCAACAGCTAGTTGATACTCATCTACGCAGACCTGTGCAGCATTTTTTTCTCTCAATACAATACTGGTGTTGAAATAGAAGCTCGTAGTCAATGACAAAAGGCGGATAGGACACACAGGTGATGTGTAATTTCATGCCATCAAGTGAAAGAGCATTTACATGTTCTGCCTGTCACTATGTATCACCGACACACCCAAATAATAATTTTCTCAAGTGAAATCGATTCATTTCCTGCTGCGACACATTGGTCGGGAATCACCGGTGTATTCATCTTTTCATTTAAGGTTAAAAATGGATCGTGTGGGTTAAGTTTTACCAACCTGATCAGACACTGGCAGATCAGGAAAATAAGGGATGTTTCTGGCCCATTCCACTGTGCTGAAGAGAAGCCGGGCGGCCAGTTCGCAGATGTTATCAATGCCCATGGAATTATCGGGACCAGCCTGCTGGTTGTACTGGTGCCCGTAGCGGCTGTTGGGGTACGGCTCGGCCCTCAACAGCTGGGAGATGAGCTCGGAAACCGGTTGACCGCCGCTCCCTCCGTTGTTGTTGTTGTTGTTGTAGAATTCGCCGCCTCCCATGCCGCTGGCGCCACCTATAGGCGTGAGGGTCGGACTGAGACTAGGCTGCGGTGGGATGCGGCCGCGTTGAACTGCTGTAGTTAGGTTGGGGGAGCAAGGGGGAAGGGTATGACAGGAAAGGGGGGTTGACAGAAACACAGTTGGGCAGATAAAGATGAAGGGGGGGGCGGTGTGGAGGAGGGATTTGGGAAAGAAAACGGAGGGGAAAAAAAATTAAAACTGGGTTCAACCATCAGTATATGTCAGGTTACAGGGGTTGAGCCGATTAGCCGGCTTTTCTTCAACACCGAGGGACACAAATGAGCCCTCCTGAATCCGAGTATTTTTCTTTTCGTCACTGCTGCATAAAGGTTATAAAGAGAATGATACGATGGTTTCACCGTGACCATGTTACACCTGTCTACATAGCAACTGAATGCAGCAGCTGAATCCCTAAAGACACAAGAAAGCTGCTCCGTGGATGACCCTGAACTCCGACCTCCCCGTGGACGCACCCAAGCAAAGACAAGTGCTACACAGGGAGCAATAATGTGTCTCATTAACTTGTTTTATGTTCTGCTTCTGCTCTGTGTGTGGTAAACACAGACAGGTCAGATATTGTACGCTCTGATGACATCCGATTTTGTTTTTAATGTTTTTTCTTGTCGCGAACATTTTTTGAACATGGACAAAATTTGAAGGTGACAAGAAAAACTGCCGCATCCATTAAAACTGTTTGGGAATGTCCGGCGAATGACATTGAATCACCCCGCAAAAAAAAAACAAAAAAAAACAACAACAACAACAAACACATTCGCTATGTGCGCACTCCCTTGCAAACTTTCACCGCTCAATGAGATACGGGCTTTAAGGAGGAACTTGAAAAGAACAAAAACAATAGTGCTGAAAACAAATTTGTAAAAATGTTACTAAGAATGGAAATAATAATTAGAATATGCTGATGTTAATGAACTTAAATTAAAAAAAAAAAAAAAAAACAGTATTGAATGAAATGACATTTTAACACAGAACAAGCAACCCCAACAATGGATCAATTGAGGGTCACCACATGGACTCAATTTCTCGTATTGGATTGCGCTTAAAGGGTTTGTCCAGCCCTCCCCACTGGCTTAGGGCTAAAGGACTTGGGTGTCTTAGCAAACCACTTATCTCCGTTAGCATGACACATACTAGATTAAGGGCTGCTAGTACATACCATTGATTGCACACACACAAATAGTTTACTGAGCTACGATAGGGCCGATATAGACAAATGTGCCATTATGAAAATAAATCAAGAAACAAGCTCAAACAGGATTGCAGTATCTAACTGGCATTCAAATTTCGAACACAAAGAAGCTGTATGGTGGCTTATCAATTAAAAAAGAAAAAAAAAAAGTTACCTTCTTTGCGCATGCCCACTCGGAAACACTTCTTGAGGCGGCAGTACTGGCATTGGTTGCGATGGTGCTGATCAATCTGACACTCTCTATTCGACCTAAAAAAAACCAAATAGTCATTCTTGAGGCTAATTATAGGCCATCAAGCACTTGTCATGCTGTCGAATGTGATGCAAGTGAAGTCCTCTGACTCTGGCTTGTAAATGTAATTCTGGTTTCTCGCTGATGGTTCACTTTATAGAATTTGTATAATGCAATACTGAATGCATTATTCATTCATTACAAAAATGCAAATACAATGTACAACATTTAAAACATGCAATACAATGTAGAGTACATTTTAGGTAAAGTCCAGTTATTACCTTTAAAGTACCGTACAGTTCAATAGATTTGAATGAACAAAACGCCTGAAAACATCCATCCAGCCAGCCATTTTCTAATGTCAGCTGTCTTCAGGCAGTTGGCAGGGGACACCCTGAACTGGTTGTCAGCTAATCGCAGGGCTTGAGCTACTGAAGGTTAAATGCTTTGAGAGAGTGGATGGATGGGTTCATGTTTCAAGCATGTGAAATATGTGCTGGCGCACGGGATGGCATTCGCAGTTTCTGAACCACCCCAAAAATGTGACGTGAAAATTTTCTTTTATTTTTTTTAAATTTGCATCATGACATGTAATCATTGGCATTTGTATGGGGAACTTGCACCCCTATTTTGATGAACGGTCAAGTGAGACTTTACCGATATCAACAAAGTATGACATCCCCGTTGTTTGAAGATCTTTGTATTTGGGGAAGGAGCTAACATTAGCTCATAAGTCTGGGTTTACATGGAGACTTTTTTTTTCTCAATTCCAATTAAAGTAATTCGACTGAAGATCTCTGGTCAACTGTTTACATGTGACGTGATCTGTTGCGACCTGCCATTGGCAAGCTCTACTACATTCATCAGAACAGCCGTTTTACAGCCATGTGACCCGCGGAGATCCATGTCAACGTCATGTGATTTATCAAGATAGACTTCATTCGTCAATTCAGCACAGTAGTTGCGACTGTTTTGACCCTTTTATTAAAGAAATAGCTTGATTAAAAACAGGTTACAAATAATTAAAAGCAAGTTCTCTTTTCTCTGTGCATTATGCTGGAACTGAAAAACATAAAGCTCTTTATAAAGTAAGTGAAGTGATCAAATCGAATGGTTTCTCAGCCACCTTCACATTCGTAAACCCTAGGGAGGAAAAAATCCTGGTGCTGTGCCTGATCTTTATTGCTTGAAAAAACTGAAAAAATAATTTTTAGGAGTAAAACCCCTGTCTCATTTTTTATGAACCCTTAGGCCTACTACACTACTAATTTCAATGTTGATCTTTACAGGGGTACTGAGAGATAGGCATTTTTATTTGGGTGGTACGTGGAGAAAAAATGTTATACAACCAATGATCTACATAGAGAGTATCAAACTCAAGGCCGGGGGACCAGATTTGGCCCGCCACATAATTTTATGTGGACCGATCCGGTCTTGATTCCGACTTGATATTATCAATATTTCAACTTCCATGATGCTTGCAAAAACAGCACCAAAACTTCAAATTGTCAAATGTAAGAAAAAAAGATATCGCAAATTTATTTTTGTTAGATTATTACAGTAACTTGAACAATAGTTGAACAAATGATTATTCTTGACTTCGGATTTCAAAACTAGGAATCCATCAATTTGTTGTGTACTGTGTAAGGAATAATATGAGGAACTCATTAAACATTTATTTGGTTTCACAGCCATAACAGCCCTCCAAGGGAAAATGTAAAAACGAGTTTGACACCCCTAATCTACAGTATGACAACAGTTCACCTGCAGAGCGAAATACTTGTGTTTAACGTCATTTAGTTAGTTTGACAAACGGTGACGGAACTACAAAAATGTCGGCTCGTAGTCAACACAGCACACATTTCCCATCATGCCCCTCTCACCTGCACGTGTAACTGAGGTTCCGCCGTACACTTCTCTTGAAGAAGCTTTTACAGCCTTCGCAGGTGAACACGCCGTAATGTTTCCCACTCGACTTGTCCCCGCACACCACACAGTCCAACACGCAGGCCTTGTCGTCCTCCCCGGCCTCCATGTCGCTGCCCCCCGCCTGAGGAGAGCCGTCCTCATCCTCCCGCTTCAGGTAGCCCTTTTCGCCTAGCCCGTTGGTGCCGCCATTGGGATCTCCCCAGCCCCCACTCACCATGGCCATCGCTTGGTTACCGAACCACCGATGAAAAAAACCGCCACTGTCAGGCAGCCAAGAATCGTCAAGGTAACATGAATATTAGCAGAACGCTTCTTTGATGCTTAGGAAGCCTTATAAAAATAAAATAAATAAAGCCACCGAAAAAAAAAAATATCCACGGGTTTTGAAAGGAGATAGTAATGAGACAAGGGGGGAAAACAAGAGGAGAGAGGCAGGAAAAAAACAAGACCAGTCTCCTCCCACTGCACTATGACCTGGAAATAGTCTCAGTGGTGTAACTTTTCAATTTTTAGCTTTGCGCTGCCTCAAAAATGTCAATGTCTTGTCCCATTCAGTTGGCTGGCTCAGCTTTCGTCAAATCCAGACGGATGGTCCTCTTCACTGTAAACACTGAGTCTACTAGCGACTGCGGAGAGATGGGGAAAGCTCTTGTTAATGGCATGAGGTGATAAATGGAGCGCGAAGACACAAACATATACCGAGACGCAGACATGGGCAGCTCAGTCTGTCTAGCTAATGGCTGAAACAGGGCTCGAGTGCGGCATAAGACTGGGGAGGCTTTAACATTGAATCCCCTCTTCCCCATACCATTGCCCCCCCTCCCCTTTATAAATCATTCAATGCTCACCTCCGATTGAACATGAATATGTCCGTCGCTATAAATCCTCTCCCTCTAGATCTTCCCGTCCACCATCCAGAGAGCGAGCGCAGCTTTCCTACTCTGGTGTAATCCTCTCAGCGGCACCATCATGACCCACAAAGTGAAGCCATTCCACGTCATTTGCTCCAATGGCTGTAGGCTTCTCCTCAAGGCTCCACCAAAAAGAAAAAACACATCTGGGCCGTCAAGTTGACCTCCAAAATACACCCGCATACACACAGACAGACACACACACACACAGACACACATACACGAGGTAGTGTGCGCTCAACACAAGGAAGTCCCGTCCTGTTCTTTCCTTCTTCCTTCCCAAAAGATATTATCAATATTTCAACTTCCATGATGCTTGCAAAAACAGCACCAAAACTTCAAATTGTCAAATGTAAGAAAAAAAGATATCGCAAATTTATTTTTGTTAGATTATTACAGTAACTTGAACAATAGTTGAACAAATGATTATTCTTGACTTCGGATTTCAAAACTAGGAATCCATCAATTTGTTGTGTACTGTGTAAGGAATAATATGAGGAACTCATTAAACATTTATTTGGTTTCACAGCCATAACAGCCCTCCAAGGGAAAATGTAAAAACGAGTTTGACACCCCTAATCTACAGTATGACAACAGTTCACCTGCAGAGCGAAATACTTGTGTTTAACGTCATTTAGTTAGTTTGACAAACGGTGACGGAACTACAAAAATGTCGGCTCGTAGTCAACACAGCACACATTTCCCATCATGCCCCTCTCACCTGCACGTGTAACTGAGGTTCCGCCGTACACTTCTCTTGAAGAAGCTTTTACAGCCTTCGCAGGTGAACACGCCGTAATGTTTCCCACTCGACTTGTCCCCGCACACCACACAGTCCAACACGCAGGCCTTGTCGTCCTCCCCGGCCTCCATGTCGCTGCCCCCCGCCTGAGGAGAGCCGTCCTCATCCTCCCGCTTCAGGTAGCCCTTTTCGCCTAGCCCGTTGGTGCCGCCATTGGGATCTCCCCAGCCCCCACTCACCATGGCCATCGCTTGGTTACCGAACCACCGATGAAAAAAACCGCCACTGTCAGGCAGCCAAGAATCGTCAAGGTAACATGAATATTAGCAGAACGCTTCTTTGATGCTTAGGAAGCCTTATAAAAATAAAATAAATAAAGCCACCGAAAAAAAAAAATATCCACGGGTTTTGAAAGGAGATAGTAATGAGACAAGGGGGGAAAACAAGAGGAGAGAGGCAGGAAAAAAACAAGACCAGTCTCCTCCCACTGCACTATGACCTGGAAATAGTCTCAGTGGTGTAACTTTTCAATTTTTAGCTTTGCGCTGCCTCAAAAATGTCAATGTCTTGTCCCATTCAGTTGGCTGGCTCAGCTTTCGTCAAATCCAGACGGATGGTCCTCTTCACTGTAAACACTGAGTCTACTAGCGACTGCGGAGAGATGGGGAAAGCTCTTGTTAATGGCATGAGGTGATAAATGGAGCGCGAAGACACAAACATATACCGAGACGCAGACATGGGCAGCTCAGTCTGTCTAGCTAATGGCTGAAACAGGGCTCGAGTGCGGCATAAGACTGGGGAGGCTTTAACATTGAATCCCCTCTTCCCCATACCATTGCCCCCCCTCCCCTTTATAAATCATTCAATGCTCACCTCCGATTGAACATGAATATGTCCGTCGCTATAAATCCTCTCCCTCTAGATCTTCCCGTCCACCATCCAGAGAGCGAGCGCAGCTTTCCTACTCTGGTGTAATCCTCTCAGCGGCACCATCATGACCCACAAAGTGAAGCCATTCCACGTCATTTGCTCCAATGGCTGTAGGCTTCTCCTCAAGGCTCCACCAAAAAGAAAAAACACATCTGGGCCGTCAAGTTGACCTCCAAAATACACCCGCATACACACAGACAGACACACACACACACAGACACACATACACGAGGTAGTGTGCGCTCAACACAAGGAAGTCCCGTCCTGTTCTTTCCTTCTTCCTTCCCAAAAACCTTAACTGTGCTCCGAGCTTCTCGTTGGCAAGCCTTTTGTTGGTGCTTGGCCACCAAGAACTAATGATGTGTGGCCGAGCTGCTGCTTTTCATCTGTGTGTGCCTGCGTGTGCGTGTGTGCGCGCGCCTTCCCCTGTGGCAAGAGGTGGGGGAGGCAGGCAAGGGTGCACTTACTTTCTCTCTTTGCGGGCATCTGCACATCCAGTTCGCATTCAAAGAGGAAATCCAAAGCCACAGACAAGTTGGATCGCTGTCTACGTTTTTATTTTTTTCCCTACTCTTGTTTCCTCCTCGAGCCTATTTGTATGTTTGACACAGAAAGATAAAGCAAAGCAAGTGAGAGAGGGAGAGAGGCATAGGAAGGGAGGGAGGGGGAGTGTGTGCAGAGGGGGAGGTGTGTGTGTGTGTGTGTGTGTGTGTGTTTGTGTGTGTTTTGAGGGATTTGACACTACTATTCAAGCTCTGTGGTTGCCATGGCGCTAGTTGCCTTATATGGCCATTGGAGTCAAAGAGCAAAAAAGACTGGGCTGTGTGGGGCAGCACACACACAGACACACACACACAGCAAGAATGTGGAGGATCTCTCTGCTGGGATGCAAAGAGCATGACCCCAAGGCCTTTCACAAAAAATAAATAAATACACACACAATACCAGATTACTCCCTGCTACAAATACAAGCAAGCTGGCCTTGCCTCTCACAGAAAGATGTTCACTGTCAGCCTAATGGCAAAAATATGAACTTTGTTTATTTCAAGTAAAGGCTGAACCCTTCATCCATCCCAGCACCCCCACCTCCCCACTTCTCGTGTACTGTATATGGATCCCTTATTGTGCCCCGAATAAAAGTTTAACGTTTTATGGTTGTTGCTCATTTCTCAGGCGCTTCATGGAGCACACAATGAGAGGTCAAACAGACTTTGACACCACGACTACGGTAAAAATCCTGAGGTCAAAGGCGGATAATGAGGAGGAGAGCACCTAGAACAACCCTGGATAAGAGATAAGTCATGAATCTCTCCACCTACGCACAGACACCTTTTCCTAAAGCAAAACCAAGCATACCTACTGGAGACCACAACGCGTATGAGTGTGTGTGTCACACAGAACAATTGTCCTAACGGCCTAGCCTTTGTGCAGCTAATAGGTCATCTCAGGGGTGTGGGTGTGTGTGTTTGTGGGTGTGTGTGTGTGGGGGGGGGGGAGTTAGTGTATGTTAATTTGAATAAAAGTCCACTTAATTAGGCCTATGTTTGCGTAATAATGACTTGCCTCCAGGGCGCAGTGTGATGCTCGCAGGCATTTAATACAAATATTTGATGAATAGACACAAAGAAGTACATCATTGCTAAACTGCCACATTGTAACTTAATTTTGGCACAATGGAAAGAATATGGGCCTTTTTAAAAATCTTCTTTCTGTATTTCATTGCTGGTGCATTGTGTTCGTGAAACACACACAGCACACACCGGCAGGGCAGAATAGCATATATCACGCTGGTGAAGTGGTATTGGAGCATTTTTTCAGAGTAAGAGTACAGCTGTATAGAATCTAAACATATCCAACTTCCAACGTGTTGGTATTTTGCCCTCATTATGAACACGACACTAATCGCCCCAGGAATCTTTACTGTCTACGTATTCAAAACCTGTGTTGATCATTAATCCAAAGCAAGACAACACCGCCGAAAATATCACATGAATTTTAATGGTGAAGGTAAAAATATGTGTTGGGAGTGGCTCGATATAAGTTGCGCAGTTTCAGTTTTCAGACCTCTCTTGGCGCAGGTCTGCACTCAAACACCACTGTACTGTGGTTATTGTCATACAAGCGTAATCTGTGCACAATGTTCTGTGCACTAAATTTAAATCCAAACCCCTGAACAAATAATGTGTACCATTTCAAAGCCATCAAATGTGGATGACTTTTAGCCAGGAAAAAGCTCTCCCGTGTCTGTCATTCCCCTTCTCGTGGGGGTGTGATGGATACCACTGGGGGGCCAGAAGTGACATGACCTTTGAACCAACTCGCTACTCGTGTTGAGGAAGCAAAAAATATTTCTGTCGACGTGCATGTTTAGTCAACACGTGCACAGAATGGCACACAGACAGCTGCAGCTGAAACTGTATTATCACAGCATAATGCATCGTCTTTTTTTTTTCCCTCAAGTTAATTTGTTTATGCTCACAATCAAGTTTGCCTTGCATTTTCTTTCTGTCTGTGTGTTAAAATTATAATTGTGATGACATACATCATGCTCTGGTCTAAGTTAAAGTATTTAGTATGCACCCTTTTTGCATTTCGGTCTTCATATACCGTGTCAATAATATGAGTGCCTTCAAATATTTCATGTTGGGGGGTGGAGTCGTCTGAGAGCTCCAAGCTACAAACTTGTTGGACGTTTAACCTCATCATGTGGCATTTCGGGGCAGGCCAAGCCCTTCTCAAGCCAGTTATTGATTCACTTAACATTTGAGTTAACCTTTAAGGTCTGTATAGCGCACCCCCCTACCCCCCCCCATCCTCTTGCAAATGGAGACACACCCACCCACCACATGACTGGATGTCTTAAGTTCGGTCGGCTCTCTTCCCTTAAGCATCCACACATGTAATTCAATCTCAGGGTGTGAGCAGTGTTGCTTTAACCACATCAACATATGGGAAGTAGGTCCTTTCTTAAAGTAATCATGAGGCGTCTGCGCATCCTTCACACAGCGATGCCGTTTTCATTACATCCCGATCCCGTCGCTGTTTAGACTTGTCGTGACAGCTTCTCCCTGAGACCAGGGTGACCTGTGACCTTTGCAGAAAGAACAGGCCTAGAAACCAAAACAGAAGCCTTTTGTGCAGGTCAAAGGGAAAACATCTGCTGGGTCCAGGACACAGATAGAAGAGGGGGATTTACTGTTTGGCATTTAGCGTATACCGTTTTGTCTTTTAAGTCGGCTCTAAAAAGCGTTATATCACACCATTCACACCCAAATTCTTCTTTTTTTTTCACCTAGTGTTATAATTCCCAGCACATATAATAATTCCCTCTTGGCATTACATGAAAAACGGGTGTTAAAAATAAAAACAGAATGCGGGAGACTTTCTTTGAAAGATGACTGCTTCTATGTCTTAACTGTACTCGCAGTTTGAAGCTAAACACATCTAAACCTTAAACCCAAACAATGCGGTGGAACTAGACATAACTGGACAATCCTGAACAAATTTGTCAGCGGATGACCTTCGCACAACTACCAACAATTGCGAACTTGCTAACAAGAAAAGGCTATTCACTAGCATTCGCAAAAAATATTTTGAAGCAGCACTTTGGATAATTTTTTTTGAACCACTAATAATATGGCACTAATGGATAGAGAGTCTGCATAAAATCCCACATCACTTATGATGCAAGGCCCTAAATTAAGCCTTTTAGAATGGCGGCCCTTTCAGAAACAGTAATGGCCCCGTGTATAGTATTCATGATATAAACTGAGACGTTTGAGTTATTATTGCTTATTTAGCATTTTTATTCTGTTTTGCTTAAGACAAGGGGAATTGACTACATGTTGACGTCAATGTCTGTAAGGAGCGTGGTGCTATTCTGGCCCAAGGCCAACAGGCCACCATCAACGTCGCACCCTGTGATGACAAAGGGCTATTGTTCAATCATGACACCAAAAATTTCTTTGCGACAACAAAAATTGTTTGCGACCATCAAAACAGCAACTGTCTGCCTAATTTAGCAAACTCGAATGAACCCTGACGAAAGAAAAAAAAAATCAACATTCGGTACCTTTGCGAACCTTCACCGCTCGGTGGCTTTATTGAAACACTTTTGAAGCAGCTCCATGTTAATGGGCCAAAATCAGCAGATGACGTACAAGGTAAGAACATTTCCACACTAAAGTGCCTATTTAATAATTTAGCACGGTGTTGTTTATTTGTGTGTAAACACAGAGGCATGGGAAGTATTTATCACTTTCCTTGCACTCCTGCCCTGTCTCCCTTTCGTGCACAGTACAGAGTGCTCTTTCTTCAGACCAGTCACCTGGTGTAGCATGTGTCTGTGATATGAGTAACCGGAGCCTTCAGAGCAAGTTAAAAATTAGCCAAACCTCTTTGGAGGAAAACCATGTGATCTCAATCTCCAGCATTCTGACACTTCCCTGTTTGTTGTCATTGTTATTCAAATGATATTAGTGAAATGGTGTGAATCTTACAAATATGTTAAGGAAGAACCATCCATCCATCTAATCTGCAAAATAAAATCATCCGGGTCCAGATACATTTTTTTAAACCGGATATATAGTCTCCTTAAAAAACGTGTCTGGAGCCAGATGATTTTATTTCGTGCAGCCAGTCGACAAAATTAAATTAATTAAATTCAGCAAAAAAATAAAGATGTCTGTGTAGCCTTGAAAAACTGTATCATCATTGTATTCTACTATACCCGATTGAATGTGTTTGCCATCACTCAATAGTATCTCCGATTTTTATTCTTTATTTTATTTATTTTTTAATACCTTCCCATCTCTGTTTAATGTGACATAAGCAAATTCTATTAACTGTAGTTGTCGGAGAGCTCCACTGAGTGGCAGTGCAATCCGATGCTACTGACCAGCTGTACTTGACTATTGTGACCATTTCTGGTCCACATTTTGGTTCTGAACACTGTGGAACAAGAACATCAAAACAATGCATGAACATCAGTCCATTGGACAGTTCTGTCCTAAATATGGATATGTTTACAAGCTCATAATATTTGGATTTACACAATATCTAATTCAATTGAATAAAAATAAAAATGGCATATTACCTGGAAAATGAATTTCATGTATCCACGGCCCATAACACTTGTATAAAGACTTTAATAGTACTTAAGTATCCCTTCAAACATAGTACTGGGGTATTTACATTGTATTACGAATTCCACCCCAACTTCCCTCGTGAAGTCTAATTCACTCAATTTTTAAATTACAGGATTTTACCAAGGATGAACTTGTTTTACTTGTCTTAGTGTTGACTTGTGCAATGAAATAATGGCAAATTTAAAAAAGAAAAGAAACTGTTCATTCTTCATATAACTATACAGAGGGGGAAAAACACTGCAAATATTCCCAAGTGGTTTATGCACAGTGTCAGCCACCGATCCACGAATAGGTCTTCCCAACTTTCTGTTTTC